CTGCACAAGTTTAAAGACCCTTCGAAGATAATGGAAGACGATAGTTGTCAAATCCTCACCAACGGTGATCAGTGCTACTGAGAGTAGATTGTCCGCTTCATTTCCCAACGAAATGCCAATCGAAAGCGGAAGTGATGCGAACCTACTTGGATGTGATGACTAACTGAAAGAAGAGTCAATGAGCAGATTTTGTGGAGGAAGGACCCAAAACTTCAGAAGTTTGCGAGGCGATGCTCGTTAAAGCTCCAACAAGCATCCACCCAGTTTAGGCAGCATGTGGAAATTTTGAGAGACTGGCGCAGTAAGGATGGTCTTTTCCTTCATTTGGTGGATCCGCAAGAATCAACGAGGATCAATACAACTCAACCAACCCCACACCAGAGTCAGAGTCATTGGTGAGTTGAAGCAGCATGGCGGATCAAAGGTTCGACTACTCAAAAACAGCAGCGGAGAGCAGCTGGGAGCCAGGAGGCGCATTGCAGCTGGAGCGGAAGATTGAAGACTCAGCAAAGGCGAAGAGTTGCAGTGTTCACAAAGGCTTCGACGAGGACATCGAAGGGATAAGTGGGGGAGAATGTCACGAACAAACTTCTCAACAAGATGTTTGATGTAATGATTATATATGTCCGTGTCTTTTGGCATGTTCATGCCTTGTACAGAATGTAGAGGGGCGGCCGAAGGCTTAATAGTCCCACTTTAGTTGGGTTGGTGGCCTCTTTAGGCTTGTAAATAAAGGTTGTGTCATGTGGACACGTGCGAGAGCTTTTCGGTCTGTAATGGACCATTTTACCCTTTGTTGTGCCACTGTTCAGAGCTTGTAAAGTCTGTTTGTAATTTGCATTGTCTATGAAGTGTTTTTCGGAGATGTTTGCTTGTGGATCCCGATTGAGGCGTTCTCTCTTACCTGTTCTCTCTTTTGTTGGTCCTAAGGGACAATGTGAGTCTTCAGGGAGGCTGACCTTTGCGGACGGACACGCAAGGGTGCCGCACGACTTAGGCAAAACCAGCTAAGTCCGTGTCAGTATGTAGGTATAAAGACCCACTGCCTAGTTAGCACCAAGGGGGGACTTTTTTCGAACACTCAACTCTCTCTCATTCCACCAAAAGCTAATTTAAGCTTTACAGGGTCAAGTCGGAAAATCTCCCTCCCGACCTCGACCTATTTCCAAGAGCCCAACGATGGAGAGGCAAGCTTCTCGCCAAGAGGGAAGGCCGTGCTCGGTCGAAAAATCTCCCTCCCGACCTCGACCTTTTTGTATGAGCCCAACAACGAAGAGACAAGCCCAGTGACAACGAGGCTCAAACCTGACCCGATCCAACCCAACGCTCGCCCTCTCCACTCAAGTGTCTACGTGGGTAACCCCACACATCGGGGATTGGACCAAGTCACACTGAGTCCTCGATCACGGCATAAAGGTCCACCAACCGCAGAAACAACAATAGTTGTGATACAGAGCTTCTTGCTCAATTAGTGCAAGTGGTCAGCCATCAAAATCCGGCTTGCCTGATTTGTCTTCGCAAGCTACGTGGTGGCAGATGAGTTGGTCCGAGATGGATTTCGAAGCTTGGTTTCAGCTTTTGGACGCTTCGTCTCACTTGTGGCTCGCTATGTTTCACATGTCATGCCGATTCTTCCATTGGCATGAATAGTGGAGACGCAGCCGGGTGGACTGTGATATTGTTGGAAATGCTTGTGAAGTTGTACGAAGAACGTTGGAAATCTTCTACTGCTGTGCCCGTCTTGAGGCTGGCCTCCCTAACAAATCTGGGGACGGAGGAGCTAGGAAATGATAAAAACATAATACTATGATGTAATTAACAAAAATTCTTTCGATCAAAAAAACCGATGTAGTGTTTAAAACAAGAGAATTGATATATAACACTTACAAGATATTCTCAAGTATATTTTGCTTCTATCTTGCTTCATAAACTACGATTCTATTTATATGACCTAGTGGTAACTACCTCACTATCATATCACTCGAAGTAGTTTATAGGAACTACCCTATAACTTTAGTTATAGGAACTACCCTATAACTTTTAGATCATCGGTGACTTCGTGAATCATCCGATAACTATCTAAATAATTATTACGAATCAATTCTCAATAAAATCTCTTCGATACGTCCAGCTTTGTAGCCCATTATAGACTCGAAGAACAGCCTCTCAGCGCTGCTGTAGCTTACTCGATTCACAGCAGCACCGGCAACAGACCTCGCCGTCCCGTTTCATCCGACGACGAAGGATTTGGTGAAGCTCCCGTTTCATCCTCGGACCGGAGAGACGAAGCATGTATGACATCACTCTTAGTTTGGTGATCTGTGAACAAAAGAGTGGCACAACGCTGTGACCACCCTGCTGACGGAAACACACACCTTTCCCTCACCCATCGCTCCGCCCCTGAACCAAACGCAGCATCGACCTTGAGTTGGCCCAGAAGACGCCAAACATGCCCAGTGCGCTATGCTGCACGCAGAAGGAAACGTATGCTGCCTCCTCCCTCTCTCTCTCTCTCTCTCTCTCCAGTGGGTCCCATCTGTTTCTTCCTCGATGGCCCTACCAAAATGGCCTTCCACTGGTCTCTTCCCACGAGAGCGGGAGATAGAGAGAGAGGGAGGAGAGGTCATTTATGCCTAACTTTATGTAGTGATCTGATGAGAGAGTTACGGAAAAGAAAGGGGGATGGAAGGCAATAAATTGAAAGGTCGGGCAAAAGATACGGCAGAGATGAGGTTGTGGTACGGGGAGGATACGCTGCATCACGCCGCAGCAGAAGGCAGCTGACAACGCCCACTACCATCATAATAGCATCGCTTTGCCACAGACCTTATTAAGACAACGAGACCAGCGAGCAGATTAGCAATGGGAACTCCAAGCTTCTCATTATGCGCTGCCTACGGAAGCCACCAACATCTCTCTATACATATATCCATCCGTATGTAGCTGCACGGAGTAGGCACAATACACTGTATTGAACGTTTAGGAGTAGCCCATAATGATTACAGCCAGCTCAAAGATAATTAAACATTTCCAAATCGAAGATATTAATTGCTGACACTGTGAGCAGGTGTGCGTGCTTTAAAGTGCCGCAGGAAGAACCAACATCAAAGAAAAGTAGCCGTTACAAATAAAAGCCTGCTTTGGCTATGCTGTCCGTATCCCTACTACTTCCTTTCCATGGGGCTTATGGCCTCGTTTTGGAGGAAGGAAGGAAGAGTCTGGTCTTTTCTTGTTTCCTTGCTAACAGCACATCATCAGCGTAATGGTCTCCCATTTGGCAAGCATTAGCCAAGCCATACTGCTGCTGCTCTGTTGGATTTGGGTGATGTAGTAGTTTGATGGGGGAGGAGGAGAAGATGGAGACAGGGGTGGAGATGGAGGAGCACAAGGTTGCCGTAGAGGAGGAGGAGGAGGAGGAGGAGGTTCAGGCGCAGGTCTATCCTGCTCCCGTACATTCCCATGAGGAGGTCGTGAGGGATAAGCTGGCCTTCATGGAGAGCCTACGCCGGTTCCACTCCTCCATGAGCACCAAGTTCATGTACGCAGCCCTGTTCTCAAGTTTCCCGACGCTTACTTCTCTTTATTGGTTGTTTGATGAAGCATCTTCTGTGGTGGGAAAGGATTCCTGTGATTGGAGGGAGGGAGCTGGACTTGCATCTCTTGTACGTCGAAGTGACTCAAAGGGGTGGCCTGGCAAAGGTTGTATTACTTGTATTACCATTTCATCGTATGCAGTTTGGTCTATTCGTAATCGATCGATGATCCACCGGTGGAAGTAGGTGATCGAGGAGAAGAAATGGAGGGAGGTCATCGCGGCGTTCAAGTTCCCCCCCACCACCACCAGTGCTTCCTTTGTGCTGAGGAGATACTACCTGAGCTTGCTCCACCACTACGAGCAGGTCTACTACTTCCGTGCCCAGGGCGGTCTGATCCCCCCGGCAGGTGAGACGATCGATCGTTGTTGTCACCTGTTCTTGTGTGTTCGATCCTTTTTGTGAACGCAATGGAATGCGTCGTGCATTGCAAACACGATGCTGATGGCGTATCGCGAGTGGTGCTTGCAGCTTCGTCGCAGACCAGGACGCCTCCTGGCAAGCTCGAACGCGGCGTGGTCGTCCCCGACTCGACCATGCAGACATCCAAGACTCGGAAAAGACCCCTTCCCGAACCACAAAACAGAGGTGAAGTCGCTTTGAACTCTCTCTTCTTTCTTTCTTTTGGATGGTGGATATCATCATCATCATCATCGATGACCGGAACTTTCTGCTGATTGTTTCATGAGATCATATGAGCACTGGCAAATCCACAAGCAATTTAAGAGGTTGCACTTGGCCCCTCTTCATCATGAAACTCACCGGTAGTGAATGTTTCTCATCAAACCTTGAGCAAAAGAGATTCGTCACCTTCTCTTCCTCCCCAGCTAACAACCTGTCATATATGCACGGGCCGCCAGTGCCCATCGGTGCATCCAAAGGTCGGAATCTTGTGTGCTGCTGAATCCATGTCCTGAGCCCATCTGCATTCTGCAAAGAGATGGGCAAATGTCCTATATCCATCAACTCGATCACAGAGCAGCCAGAGAGGGTTCACCTACGTGTCCCTAGCATCTCAAAACATTCCCGAATGCCTACATAAACGATGGATGCTCGGAAATGACTGAACACTAAAGGCATTTGTCTTGTCTTGGGCGGTAGTCCGTCGATATGTTGTTCGGAGTAGATTCCCTGGGTTTTGGATTGTCTGTCTGGGAACAGACTTGTTGCAGCGGGAGCAGTATGTGCTGAACAGTGGGTATAAGTCTGATTACTTTTCATTAGTGGCCCGATGATGGCTTGTACAGGAAGGCCATCCATCAATGTCCCAATCGCCTCCCCAAGTTCTTCATCATGGTGCTATGAATTGCTGCACCTACAACATCGTCCTTGTTTAGTTAGTCTCAGTTTAAGCTTAAAGATCGATCATTACCAACTGCACATTATGAATACATTGCATGTTTGGTTCTCACAGGACCCTACAATTTCACAGTCACGGGATCCATCGATGGGAAGTTCGAGTACGGTTACATGGTCACCGTGAAGATTGGCTCCGATACCCTGCGAGGCGTGCTTTACCATGTCCACCAGCCTTCGGCGTCCTCTTCTACTCTGGCAAAAGCACCGCCGGAGACAGCAAATGCACCGAGTAGCAGCGCCGTGACCAGAACGAGGCTCAGGCGGCGAAGGCGCTGCAGGCACCGCGACCCTGCCCACCCCAAACCAAACAGGAGCGCCTACAACTTCTTCTTCGCTGAGAAGCACTCCAAGCTGAAGGCTCTCTACCCTCACCGGGAAAGAGAGTTCAGTAAGATGATAGGGGAGTCCTGGAACAAGCTCAGCTTAGAGGAAAGAACGGTGTGATTCCTCCGTTGTCGTGGTACCATAGCCTGTGCTGATCTTTCCTATCACGAGTACCTAACTTGCTTCTTGACTTCTTTCCCAGGTGTATCAGGACTATGGACAAAAGGACAAAGAGAGATACAAGAGAGAGATGCAGGAGTACCAAGGAAAAGCTGAAGCTTGTTCAGCCCGAGGAAGTGGGGAGGCCTGAGCCTGAGCCTGAGCCTGAGCCTGAGCCATCGGAGGTTGTAACCGGGGAGGTTGAATGACTCTTGTGTTTGGCAGGCAGCAGGTCTTTGAGAGATCAGCAGATGGTTCTTTCTTATGTAAACTTAAACAAAGTTCGTAGCTGTAGTTTGTGGATGAGAAAAGATGAATGATCACAAATCCAGGCAGGTTTCATATGAGCACTAATATTTCAGCTGTGATCTGCTACCTGCGCTGCTTTACTTGGTCCTAATTGTTCCTCTCATGCAGGTGATATGACCTAACAATTTGACGCTAATAAGACATTATCCTAGTAACTTAAATCTAGCTACTCAAACACCAAATTAGTGGTGAATGGCAAAGACATTTTGATCATTAACAACAACAGAGAACCACTGTGGGGATCACACAAGGTAAGAGGGACTCATCTGCATGGAACATCTGGAAAGTATTTTCTATGCACAAATTTATACAGGATGTTCCTGACACGGGTGCTCACATTAAAGCATTCCTGCCAGAGAACTCATCATCTACATGGATCTTATTACGTTTCAAGGTAGCTTCCAAGGACAAAGCTACACTGAAGCATCTGTTCACTAAAAGGCCCAAGACAAACCATGCGTCTGGAACAATGAAATCTCCTCGTGCTACCGTTCGGTGGGGAGCCTGTTCTGAACCCACGCAGAGTAGCCGCCTGCTATGTCCGTGATGCCGGTAAAACCCTGTGCAAATTGAATTGCCTCATTTATGACATATTAATCACTATGTATCACAATCAATATATCCACAATGATCCTCTGCAAGAGTGATTTAATATCTTCAAAATTTTAGGAGGCTGAATCACTACTTACAGCAGAGGTAAGTTCAGCTGCAGCCATCAGTGATCTTTTCCCACTTCGGCATCCCTGAGAAAGAAATGACAGTCCTCCATCAGAAACATTTAGAGCGATAGTCTCACAAAGCAGAACAAATTCTAAAAGTCCAATGAGAGAGATCTCACGATAATTATCTCGTCATCCTTCCCGAACACCGAGGAAACTTCAACCAAGAACTTGGGATTCTTCGTCATCCCTGCGGAAAAAATGGCAGCAAAAACTCATCAAAACGCCGAGCATGAAACAACAGTTTAACTCGACCGGCATATCATATGCATGCATATATTGATTACCTGATCCAACTTTTAGCACGTAAGGGATGTTGATAGCTCCGGTCGCATGGCCTGCGTTGAATTCATCCACCGTCCTGTCAAACCATGCCAAAATATAGAAGATCTGTTGGGTGAATACAATTCAAAGGTGACCTTTGCGATGGGTCTCTGAAATAAGACCTTCATAAGCTATAACAAAGACGAAATCTATCAATAAATTAATTGTCGAATGATCTACCTAACATCGAGATAGTGATGTCCAGCCTGAAGCAGCTCGTGGGCAACCCGAACCGGCACCGATGTCGGCACAACTCTTGCTTGATTCCAGTAAGTGGCGGTGGAGCCGATTCCATGTCTACAATATCCTCGCCAGATGAAACCCCCAACCATGTACAAGTAAAAGGAAAAGTTATGGAAAGGAAGACACAGTACCTGAAGAAGCTCGGACGCTTGTTTGAAGACGCTTGTTGATATCCGGCCTGCAACTTTGACGCAGGGATGAAGGTTTTCAGCGATGGAACAGATCTGCGAGTTCTGTTAAAGAGTACGGTAAGCGTGGGCGTTGCGGAAGAAAGAACTACTACTCCGTAAAACAACATCTATAACTATGTTCCTGCCCGGATCGGCATGCAGATGAAGAGATAAAGCGGCTGGCTGACCTTCTAATCGAAGGAAGAGTGGGGAAGAAGGGGGTGGAGACGCCGGCGAAGGAAGCCATTGTGGTCGATCTCAGCTGTGGGTTGAGCGTGGGATGGATCGTTGGTGATCGTTGTGGTCGATCTTAATCTACTTCGGAAGCAGAGGGAGGGTGTCTTATAAACGTGTCGGGTGGGGGAACGGATTGTTACAAATGGGAGAGGATGACACGTATGTCTGCAGTAAGCAAGATTTGGGATTATAATGAGAATGATTCTGTTACATGCTCCCCAACCCCCCGATAACGAACCTGACATGTTACGCGATGGGCTTCTTGAGGGACCCGCCATACGAAGGGAGATGACCAATTAAAAGACAGGAGGCAAAAACGAGTAGGTTGCGAGAGGGTTGGGAGAGTTATATCTGTTGCGGAAATTGGATGGGGCGGACAACTCAGACCGTGGTGGGTTCGTAATTATCCTCGGGTAGGGATGGGGATGGGAGTGGCGATGTAGATGGGGACGTTTGATTTTGGTTGTGGGAATCACGAGGATGAGGAAGCGTCCACGTGCCCGCTCCACTAGACTTCGATCTATATAAAATCACTTATAATTCAAATTTACCAACGCCACATAAATGTTTTATTTAAATGTTCTATTGACAACATGTTACATATTAACGACTCTCATTTAATCATGTAAATATCTACTACACATTGCAGGAAAGGTCACGAGAGGCGATAGCCGTTTACCCACGAAGTGAAACACGTTAAAACAAGATGCCTCACGCCTCACCGCCCCCTACGCTAACCTCTTCTGTATTGGCTCCTCTGTGGCTCATCTTCCCCTGTTTCGAGATCTCCTTCAACCTGTCACTTGCGAAAAGATTGCCTGTCTTCGGTCCGAGGAAGGCGTCGGAACGGACGTCATCAAGTAAGATTACTACGACGATCCGCTGGATATTGGGGCCATCATCGACAGGGCCGTATTGTCCTCCGATGCCACCCTCGATCGGGACTTCGTGACCGTCGTCTTCTTCGAGTGCGAGCACACGAGGTGCGCGACGTGCCGCCCCGGCGACAGGTCGTGGACGTCAAACATCCGCACCCCAGTCTCAGACGTGGAGTGGACGCACCCCGAAGCGCAATTCTCGATCCTGCTCATCGACATCGCGCCCTACGGCGAGCGGAGGTCGTGCGCCGTCCATGGTGACAACGAGAGTTTGGCCCTTTTCGAAGTCGGCCTTTCATGGCTTGCATTATGTTGGTTGTCGGTTCATAAATTGTGTGAACAGAGTTCACAAGACATTCCTAGAATGATTCGCTTGCATGTAAGAACAGATCAATCATACCACTTGCGGAAGAGTCGATTCATTCTGTTATGATAACAGTTTCTTGCACAACAACCCCCACCGTAACAACCCAAGAAGACTACAACGGAACTAAAGAACGGGAAGAGATGCATTTCCGCTGGATGATATATATAGAGAGAGAGATGGATAGCGAGGGGAAGTGAAGATGGCCGGCGCCATCACCAGAAGAGCGATGTGGGCAGGCCTTTCCTCGCATCTCGTCAACATCACCTCTAAATTCCTAAGGAGCGCCGCCGACTTTCTTCGCTTCCGTTCCGTCTGTAGATCGTGGCGCTCCGCCCTTCCCCTTTCTCGATGCCATCTCCCCCCTCAGCTTCCCATCCTCCTCGTCATCAGCGCCTTCGAGGATTGGATCACTTTCCGCCTCACCGGCGACTCCGCCGGACACTGTTGCAGGACTGGTATATTTGCCTACATCTCCTGCCTTGGCTCCTCTTACGGGTGGCTCATCCTCTTCCACGAGGGCTCCAAAGAGGTCTCCCTGTTCAACCCCTATACCGCCGAGGCGATTCCACTCCCCAGTCTTACCCCTCTCCTTGACAAGATAGAGCAGGAGAACGGAAATAAGCCCGACGATGGCGCCACCGTAGAACATGCCCTCTTGTCCTCCGACCCCACCTTACATCGGGACTTCGTGGTGATCGTCTTCCTCGAGGCCGTGCATCTTAGATGCGTTACATGCCGGCCAGGGGAGAGATCGTGGACGGCAAACCCCAACTCCATTTTCTTGGACCTCCGGTTAACGATCCCGGGAGAGGACCTTTCGTTCCCGATGATGGAGGTCGTGCCCTACGGCGAGGGTAGGCTTTGCGCGATCTATGGTGACAACAGGTACTGGGCGGTGTTGGGCGTCGACCCAGGGCCACCGGGGAGGGTAAAGGTCACAGCATGGGGTCGCCTTCCCTCGTGCGTGCCGCGCACTATTCCCTCCGCCCTGGTTCCGTCGGCCGGAGAGCTGCTGCTGGTCACCTGGTGCCACGAGAGAACCGCAAATGCGACGAAGGACCTCATCTTACGCGTCTTCAGGTTCGACCCAGGAGAAATGGGCAGGGAGGCGGTGGCCTCGGAAGTGGAAGACATCGGCGATCGCATGCTGTTCCTGGGGAAGAACCACTCCGTGTCCGTCGCAGCCCGAGACTTCACCGGGTTCCAGGGGAACGCGATCTACTACGTTGATTATGAGTTGATTCTGGGAAAGATGATGACGGCTCTCTGCGTATTCCGCTTGAGAAGTAGTGAAACCGCATACGTTTTCGAATCGAACGAGCTGCGGTTCACCGCCTGGTGGGCGTCCGCAAACCTTCGCAGCTACAACGGAAGTCTTCGTGGTTACAACTAGCGATGGCTACGCCCTTCTCTCTTCCAGGTACCATTCCTTTCATCGTCAAACCTCGTGATACACTATTGTTGTCAAGGACAAGTCGATCATCTTGAAGTTGAGGGCCAAAGCCTCCTCTGTCCTACGAGTACTACTATTATAGTACAAGAAACACCAGTTCGGAACAACCTCCTCACCTCCCAATTCCTGACGAACTCCAGTACAAGATTCCATATCATTCTTTGTCTGTTTCCTTTGAACATTTTCTTCTACGGGGAAAATCTTGGCAATGATCCTCGCTCTCAGCTCCCCTTCATCCTCATCCTCTTCCCATGGCAACCAAGAATCCGCACCTCTCGCCTCGCCAATGTGTCTAATTCGTTGATGAAGCGGAGACCGAGGCCATCGTTGACAAGGCTAGATGATCCTTCGACCCAGTCCTCGATCGGGACTTTATTACGATCATCTTCATGTGTTGCCCAGGGGCGGATCTCTCGTAAAGATCCTCTCGTGCTCGTATCTCCCTTTCCTTTTCGACATTATATAGTACGATTGGAGGAGGTTGTGTGCCGATGGACACGGAGAGCGATGCTTATCGCATACAACATCTCCCTTCCCTACTCGACATTATATATATAGTACGTCTGGCGGAGGTTGTGCGCCGTTGCTACCATCGCTTGGTGGTCCGACCCGAGATGGATAGGAAGAGCGATGCTTATCGCGTAGAACATCATGTCGCCCTATGTGTCCCGCGGTATTCATTACACCTACATATGTTTATTTACACGTACATGGTTGCATCTGCTTTGCTTGTGGTCACTCAGTTTTGATAGGAATAATAGTGACACAATCATTGACATACTGACTCATCCAAAAACTCATGCAGGTGAAATAACCCACGTAGTGGTCGTCCCCACCCATTCCCCCTCCCCCCCGCCCCCAAACAATAACCCTGTAGTCGTTGACGGCAAGCCATAGAGAATCGTACCCATCGACCGTCTAACGCCTGGCATATGCGACCGTCATCTACTTATCCCGAGCAAGTATCAACCCCTAACAAATGACGCTTTTGTAGTTATCCTTCGCTAACGGCTTGCCATAGAGATCTGTGCCCATCGATCATCTACACAATGAGCCCTTAAAGAAAATATGGACCCATTAACATCAATCGTCGGCCTCTCTCCGTCGACTACTGAGGTATAAAAATTGATTCCCAAGAAAGACTGCACACAAAAAACCCTATTGCTCCCGCCCTCTTCGAGAATTAATTTTATCATCGGAGGGATCGAGTCGGAAACTTCCCCAATGTTGGTTGCTTATGCAAAGATTCCAACGAAGCCATGGCACACTTCGGCACATCTCCAAAACTCTAAGGAAGTCCAAACCACTTTAGTCCTACATGGAATCCACCTCGAGCAGACAAGCAACACTTCGATATTTCATTAGTCGGACCTTCCCCTACTTCAACCACCTCTCTTGGCTGCCACATAAACCATCAGGACGAGCTTGCGTCTTCGAGACAAAATCAACTCGTGCCGACTCCCCAATCAACGACATCAAAGCAACACCTAAGAACCTAAGAGGTCCCTAAGAGATTTGATCATACAAAGATATAATCGAAGAAATCTTGATCATCAATATATGTGTATTATATACCACCGAAGGGATTCCAAATGTAAGTACCAATGTAAGTCTCATAGGAGGAGAGACTTGATAATTCAAATTTAGATCAAACCGATTAAAGAGTTGGTTTCTTCAAGAGTTTTGTGAAGTCTAAACATTTGCTCTCACGACGGGAGAGCACATAGTTATAAAAAGAGATAACTAATAAGAATATAATTAAGAGCCAAGCTTCTCATCTTCAATAGTGAGTTTGTCGGTAAAAGAACAACAGCTACAACTAGCGATTGCTTGGCAGCATATTTCCCTTGGATCTTTGTTAGCCTTGCAAAAAATCTAGTTATGGGATATACCTAATTGACTCACTTAGTAAATCTAGTTAGATACGTTTCAAAGATAGTAATCCAAATGCCTGAAATAAATTAAATTCACCTAAAAAGGGTAAAATAATCACAATCAGCATGAGCTGTTAGGCCCAGAATTATAAAAAAAAAAAGGGGGGGCCAAAAGATTAGCAATTCTCGCACTGTGCACATCAGCCCTATTGGTTACATGGTTACATTTCAAGCAGGCCAACTCAGTGAAGGTGATGGGAGGAGAAAAAGAAAAAGAAAAAAAAAGAAAGAATTACAACTCAATGGGTAAAGAACAATCACGCAGGCCAACTAATTAATTTCACTGTACAGCTCTAAGGTTATACCGCTACATCTAGATTCAGTGGCCACGCCTGAGAACCGAAAGAAACCCACCTGATGACTTTTCCTTCCGGCGGTCATTGGATTCATCGCCAACCTGTTCAACAGTTCAAAACGATTAACAGGGAACCTTCTATAAAGCCCAGCTAGGAACTTGAAAGGAAACAAAGCCAGTCTTCGACAGGGAACCTCTTTGGCAATAAGCTGTAGTATCTCCAGTATCTCCGAAAAATCAGGCCGGTTAGCAGGGTCCTGCTGCCAACACTTCTCCAGCAGCTCAGCAAGCTTTGAATGAGTATTCTTTGGGATGGTAGGTCGCAAGCCCTAGACTCACAAGGAAAACGAACCAGTGGTGCAGAGGGCATCAATTGTAAGTGGTGATGGAAAAACTGATTCATGTGAAAACAGACTCAAGGTACCCTCATGTTAAATAAATACAACAAGATGCTGATGGTCATTGGTGGAGCGGTGCCCTAATAAACAATTTAAACACAAGTGACAGGAAGCGAGCTTACCTTTTGAACCACACCTACTGCTGCTTGGAGTGGTGTCAAGTATTCATATGGGAGCTGGATGAATTTTCATATGAAGTTTCAGTTGACTGTGGAAGGAAAAAAAAAAAAAGAGGAAAAGGCTCATACTGCATGAATTGAAGGTACCTTAGCTGTAAGCAGTTCCCACAGTACAATTCCAAAGCTAAAAACATCAGCTTTGTGATCATAGGGCTTGTGTTCTATGACCTAAATTTAGAGTCAACCAAGTAGGAAATTGTTGGTATGTTGGAGGTGCAAGGTACAAAGGTAAAAGCATAAAGATACTCTGGATAAAGGCTACAATTCATAAGTGAAATTAATGTTGGAGCATACCTCAGGTGCCATCCAGCGGTAAGTTCCTGTTTCAGCAGTCATAACTCCAGACTCCGCTTTAACGCGTGCAACACCAAAATCGGCAACCTTAACAACCTGCCAGATGAACAAGTAGATTAGTTCTGAAGAAAATAAGGCACCAAAATAAATCCCATCTCTCTAGGCTGGTACAAAGTTACAAAGGGAAAAACGTGAGGGAAGATATATAAGCGGTAACCTAGAGATTAAGGAATCATTTTCATGTAATAGCAACATAACAAGTACTGCAGAATCATTTATTGTAATATAATGTTGGTTACTAAAGCAAGTCAGGGCCTATCTCTCAATCATTAACATTTAAGATGTATATACTGATCAAACAACCTATAGATAATAGTACAAAGTTACTCTATTCTTAGAAGGTCGAAAACATTTTACCTCTTAAGTTCCAAAATGTTACACATCTACTAGTATTGCTAAAATATTTTCGTTCCTCAACATCTTAATCCATACGACAAAGTTGTCGATCAATGTTCCTTAAAAGATTTAGATAGTCAACGACTCCATAAACAGACAGCAGACCAGCACTGAACTTGAGATAAATCTACTGTAATAGTTTCAAACTACGTCCAACTTACTCAAAAAGTTCAGCATGTGATGTCAAATTTCTGCAGTATTAGACAATGATCTCAATGATATGTCTTGAAAGAATAAATTAGCAAATAATATTTTTCAACACAGTTAACACATCTAATAATATTATGCATATAATATACCTGACTTGATGTACCATACTTTATTAATAATATTTAGGTAGCTGTATAGCAAATCAGACTATAAAAGGTATTTACTGCCTAACCACCAAAGTACACAAACATCAGCATATTTGAATGTTTGTATTCATAATCACATATGCATATGCATATACCCAATAACAATAGCAAGCATGCACCTGTACATACATTCTTGGGTACCATACATAAGTAGAATAGAGAACATATACAATTATCTAAAGACACCACCTGGATAACAATGAAAAATTCTATCACAAAATTCATATATAAAAGCTGTAAAAAAATGGGTGCAAGCAGAAGTCTTCCCCCAAAACAGCAAACTACGCACGATTGAAAGTCAATGTCCAGACATCATCGCTAATCTCGGTTAAGAAAAGGATCATGGGCTCCAATGTCTTTTTTTATTTGTGGAAATGTATATTTCCACGTCAACATACCTGAAACTGTTATTTATCAGCTGAAGAATGTATGTATGGCATTTTAAATGCTAAATCCGAATGCTCTACTCAGGTTGATCATAGGGTAAATACACAAAGTCGGAATGATCAATTTACCGCTTATGAGATTACCTAGAAAAGACTCCCGAGTCCATGCATGCATATGTATGAACATGTGCTCAACCAAGGTAAACAATGACTGATAAGACGACAAACAGATGTAATCCAGAAGTCATACCAATAGATAGAATGTGATGAAATAACTTGCCTCATTCTCATCCATCAGAAGATTGGCAGCTTTCAGATCCCGATGGATAATATTATTTTGGTGCAAGTAGTTCATTCCCTTAGATACATCAATTGCTACTCGGAGTAAAGCTGGGAGCTTGAAGACTCCTTTCTGTTTATGAAGGAAGTCATAGACACTTCCTCCTGACATGAATTCTAAAGAAAAAGTGACAGAAACCATGAAAAAGGTTCCTTAAAAGAAACATATATTAATCTTGAGAACAAATAACCACACATACTGGAGCTTCACCAGATCTTCGTACCTGTGACAATACACAAGCTGGGAGGTTTGGTACAAGCACCAATAAACTGCACCACATTCTTGTGGCGAACCTTCCTGCATAACCAAGAGCAACAATGGATACAGCAGCAAGTCAAGGAAAAACTGATGCAAGAAAACACAATCTCAAGGATGCCTAGTTGATATGATACTTGATACATCAGCATAAGTGTGAGAGTGTGACACAGTTTAAGGCAGGTAAAACACCCTTGAGAAC